GAGAGACTGAATCTTAGAACTGCTTTGAACGAATCGTTTGAGAATCGCTGGAAAATTAGGTGATATTAAATGCATATTTTGAGTAAACGAAAGCGTTTTTTGTCCTTGCATGCATGTAATCCTATTGTAGGAGACTCCCAAAACAATATTAGGAACCGTAAAAATTGCATAATAGGGGCACTTTAATAGAAATCTCCCCCACTTCCGCAGTTATCTTTCTCTTTAGTTGCATTCACTTATTTTCTAAAGTAATTTTGAATGTTGTTAAATTGTCAACTAAACCTTTTGTGACAACATTACATAAGTTGACTACATGAATTTACATGTAGTCACAATGCAATTCTCTTCCTATCAGTGCAACGGTATCAAAAAAGAATACTTTAAACAACCCTCTACGGACACCTTGGCAATTGAATCGCCATTGGCTAGTATATTTTTTTGTTTACTCGCCAGACTGAAATACTATACTATACTATACTATATTATATCTGTGCTAATCATACACTCAGCCTCCAACTCACACACTGGCGAGTAAAATCTGAGAATTTATTAGTCATTGGCTAATATTAGACATCATTTAGTCGCCCAGAGTGAAGATTTAGTCGCATATGCGAGTGATTTACTCGCAATGTAGAGGGTTGTTAAAGGTAGAACACTGACTAATTTGATGTGGCAATGTAAAGTTATTAATAAAATCGCACTATAACACATTTATTATAAACGTCATTCTATTGTGATAAATAAGACTAATAATGCGGTTGATTTACTCCCCCTTTAACTGTGACAGTATCAAGTGCCTTTAATAATGTCACACAGACATCAACATTTTAAACACAAAACACAACAATGGTAACAATCAAAATATTTTTGATAGTAAAACTGAATATTACTAAACATTTTTGCTGTCTTTGTTGTGTCAGTGTAACTTCAGGTAAACATACCTTAATTTTTTAGGCATGGAGTTTATTTCCTTTTTTTAAGGCAATGGATTTCCTCACTTTATTTAAACTGAAGTAAATGATAAATCAGTATATGTACAATTATTTAATTTAAGTTACTTTGTGTTTGTTTTAGTTTTTTTGTTCATGTAAGCTATAGCTTCTGAACTTTAAATCAAAACATCCTCATGATTTTATGGCATCAATTACTGCTCTATTTAATCAGAAACACAGTCTAAATATTATTTGTGTATTTTGCTTTCATTTTATTAGAAGTAGGCCAACAGTGCCCTCTACAGAATTAAAACTCCTTACTGAGCGGGCATTAGGACCCGGGGAGGGGCTACCGCTGCACGTGCTATTTCTGTTTACTCTATCACACACAGATGGTGTATGTGTTCATTCTGTACGTGCATTCTCAGATTAAATGCAGCGATCCAAAACAGTTAATCTAATCATCATTCAGGCAAAACTTTGAAGAATGAGCCACACTGCTGACATGATCTAATCGCTAGCACACCCGGAGCATATGTGAGTTAATGTATTCCTCTTATCGGCATTTTTTTTTTTTCATATCGGCCGATGCCGATATTTACATTTCAAGCCATTATTGCCCGATTCCGATATTGGTCCGATAATATCGTGCATCCCTAATTCTAATGATATTAGATTATTTCTAATGACATTTTTAAAATAGGTTGTGATACGTTTTATTTTCATTCTTGTAACACTTTTAACGGGAAAGTTCACCCAAAATTTAAATGTAAATGATGTCATTATTTATCATGTCTTTCCAAACCTATGGCTTTCTTTCTTCTGTGGAACACACACACACAAAAATAGATATTTAGAGAAATGTCTCAGTGTTCTTTTTTTGTCCAACACACATTTTTTGGTGAACTATCACTTTAAGGGCTGTCATCTGTGAGTCCAAGATCGGAGTCACTGACACTTTCCTCATGTGGTGCGACCTACAGGATCATGATATCTCAGTATCACATTTACACATTCAACACTATAACACCCGCAGCAGTGCAACCCTCTCACATCAAAGCACAGAAATAATGTGAGACTTCTGGACTTCTATTTCACAGAATTCAGGGGGAAAGTCAGAATTGTGAGTTTGTATCACAGAATTCAGGGACAAAATGTCAGAATTGCAAGTTTATATTACAGAATTCAAGGAAAAAAGTCAGAATTGTGAGTTTATATCACAGAATGCAAGGGGAAAAGTCAGAATTGTTAGTTTATATTACAGAATTCAAGGAAAAAAGTCAGAATTGTGAGTTTATATTACAGAATTCTGAGGAAAAAAGTCAGAATTGTGAGTTTATATTACAGAATTCAGGGGGGAAATGTCAGAATTTCAAGTTTATATTACAGTATTCAAGGGAAAAAAATCTGAATTGTGAGTTTATATCACAGAATTCTGGGGAAAAAGTCAAAATTGTGAATTTATATCAGAATTTTGGAGGGAAAAGTCAGGATTGTGAGTTTATATGACAGAATTCAAGGGAAAAAGCCAGAATTGTGAGTTTATATCACAGAATTCTGGGGGGAACGTCAAAATTGTGAGTTTATATCACAGAATTCTGGGGGGAACGTCAAAATTGTGAGTTTATATCACAGAATTCTGGGGGGAACGTCAAAATTGTGAGTTTATATCACAGAATTCTGGGGGGAACGTCAAAATTGTGAGTTTATATCACAGAATTCTGGGGGGAACGTCAAAATTGTGAGTTTATATCACAGAATTCTGGGGGGAACGTCAAAATTGTGAGTTTATATGACAGAATTCAAGGGAAAAAGCCAGAATTGTGAGTTTAAATCACAGAATGCAAGGGGAAAAGTCAGAATTGTGAGTTTATATCAAAGAATTCAGGGAAAAAGTCAGAAATGTGAGTTTTTAATCAGAATTATGGGGAAAAATGTCAGAATTGCAAGTTCATATACAGAATTCAAGGAACAAAGTCAGAATTTTGAGTTTTTATCAGAATTCTGGGGGGAAAAAGGCAGAATTGTGAGTTTATATGACAGAATTCAAGGGGAAAAGCCAGAATTGTGAGTTTATATAAGAGAATTTGGGGGAAAGAGTCAAAATTGTGAGATAAAAAGTTGCGATTACCTTTTTATTTTTATTCAGTAGCGGAACAAGCTTCCATAGAGATGTGTATTACTTAAAAAAAAAACTTTTCAAGCTGTAATGTTATGCATATATGCAGTAGTGCAGGCAAGTCACAGATTCTGCTAAATGAATAACTGTAAATCTAACGAGGTAAAATAGAAACAGCCATGTGTAATTACCTGCCAGAAAACAGACTCTCCAGAGGCCAGAGTGGATGGACATGCGTATGTCAGCGCTCTGGTTCAGAGGCAGGATGACGCCCTCCTCCAGGTAGAGCCAGTAGTCAGTGCTGACGGCGATACCCAGCAGCCCCAGACTGCATACTGCAAACACACTGCTGAGCAGGGTCAGAGCCTTCCTCCCGCACGCGCTCATGCCACTCAACCTTCAGCAGGGGGCACTCACCACACACAGATAATCTGAGAGAAACACAGATGCAGTGCTGTCAATTCACAAAGAGCTGCTTGCTGACTGTAAATCAGGCGGGCATCAACTTCCATCTCCAGCAAATCTGACACATAATGAATCATGAAAACGAGATGAGAATCAACATCCTTATGGAAACAAGTGTTAGCGGAAGCACACAGATGCAGCTGGAAAGCCAGCAACACAGCTCACAATGTGAGATTGACAAGCAGCGCATTCAGTGAAAATCCACACAAGGAGAGAGAAAATCGTTCAGTTGTTTCTGGACAAAAACACACATGCACACTCATGCATTTTCACATCTGTACATGTGTCATCTGAGCACAGCTGGAGCCGCTGAACATGTGATATATGTGTGAGACACTGATGCACAATGCAATATGAAACCGAATCACGCTGCTTGCTGTGTGGCATTGCAAAACTGACATGTCATATATGAATCTCCCATATGAAGTGCAGTATACCTGTAACTCAGAATGTGAGAGCGTCCATTGCTGCTGCGATGATGATGATGCACCTGTTTAAAGAGGGACACATTTGTGAGCTTCTTTACATTTAATGACAGATCTGGGACATTTACTGTGCAGAGATTATGTGCATGTTCATCCAGTTTAGCCAAAAAACAGTTCTACAACAATGAGGAATAATATAAACTAATCCACATTTGGGTTTACTGTCTTATATGGCACATGTAAAACTCTTCACTTAAAAGTTTATAAAGAATGACAACTGTGTCCCTCACGTTCTGAGCTGAATAACAACGCTTGTTTTCTGTAGAGCTGCTTTATAGTTGAATTGAGAGTGTTTCACAGTTGAACTTTGCAATATCGACACTGTTACTAAAATAAACTTTGAATTACATTTAGCTGAATAATGACTTCTGTAGAGCTGCTTTACGGGCTAAAATTAAATTAGACTCATAACTGGCGTTGCAACAATAGAACTGTTATTTTCCTGTTTATTTCTATACAGCTACTTTGAAACAGTCTGTATTGTATAGAAATAAATATGACTTGACTTGGACAATGGTTTGTCTCAAAACTTTATGTTTTTGTTTATTGCCAATACCACTGCAGACTGTTTAGTTTTTAAAAAAGAGCCAATTTACCATTATTGTTAATAAATTATTGTGCTGTATTATTACTATGCAGTAAAATTAGTAGTGTACAGTACAGTATAGGGAAACTTCAAAGATATCAGAGAAATCTTTCAGTAATTTTTGTTTATTTTTATAGTGATGGATAGCAGCAACTATTACTATTTATTGCAAATGACAATAACTTTAGTAACCATGATAATTTAGCTGAAACTATGGTAACCATTGTGCATTTTTGGCAGCAGGAGAATTCCAAATCAGCAGCATCACACTGCGATCATCAGCCTAGTTAGTCAGCTCACTAGGTTTTGAGACACAGCTTTTATCTTTCAAATCTATTTACATTTTCTCCGCTTTTACTGGTTTCATCACCGTGTCTCTCTGCACATGTTGCAGCAAAATGACTGAGTTCTGGACGTTATGTTCCGCGCACAGCTGCGTTCTCGTTATTATAAACATATGCTGCCAATTAAGCAATTTAAAACACATTTTAATACTTTTAATACATGTACACTATATCAACCAAATAACCATATTTAAAGCACAAATTTTAAACACGTTTTAATATATTATACACAGTGTGTAAATCCCACTAAGTATATAAAATCATGCATTTTAAGACGCATTCAGATGAAAAAAAATTATGACATCAACTGTATATTTCTTCATCTGCATTGAAAAGATGGTAAATTACCTGAAGGATGTTGTTGATGAGAGTAAATCCAGCTGTGGAGTGAAGCAGCTCCTCGCAGCGCAGTCTGACCACGAGAATGAACACGAGCCAGCGAGCGTGTTGTACGCGCGTGTGTGTGTGTGTGTGTGTGTGTGTGTGTGTGTGTTATGTGAGAGTACGTGCGTCGCTGGTGCAGGTTAACAAGTCTGTTCGTTCAAACAATTCGTTCAAATGAAATGATTCACCGTTCAGTGATCAGAGTTGCCAAGTCCGCGTATTATACGCGACTTTGGGCTTCTTTTTTTGTAAAGTTGCGTGAAAAAAATCCCGGGTCTCGGGTTGCGGTTTTTTGGGCATATTTTAAAAAATATCGTTGCTTGTTAGGAAAACCTGACAAGCAACTTCGTTTCTTTTCATTTATGTTCACTGTATTCTCCAATGCATTGATTGACACTATGTCTGCTCACAGTTAGTAGCCAATCAGTGCAAAAATATAAGTGCTGCAGCGTAATTTGTCACAACGCCTTCTTTTTGAACGTGATTTTTCTTCTATGAGGGATTGAAGAAAAATCACTTTCAAAAGGAAGGCGCATGACGCTGTAATCCAAGCGATGATCAGTGTTGGGGGTAAGGCATTACAAGTAACGCCAGTTACGTAATCAGATTACTTTTTTCAAGTAACTAGTAAAGTAACGCATTACTTTTTAATTTATAAGAGAATATCTGAGTTACTTTTTCAAATAATTAACGCAAGTTACTTTTTTTTCCAATTTATTGATTGACAGCTCTCCTGTCCCCATGTTGAGAGAAATCAAACAAGTAGACCTATACTAATACTAAGAGTAGATTTGGTTCGAATAGCCAATATTTTAGTAGGCTATAAATATGTGGCTATATGTTACAGCTCCCCTTTGAAGCTCTTGTGTTTTTCTCATTTTTTATCTCTCCAATCCTATTCTGCTCACAGGTGATTGGAGATGAGTATTGTTCCTGCTTTGTTGCAGTTTGCTGATTTTTGTAAAATAACTTATGTTTTTGCTTTTCAGATAAAAGGGTAGTTTCAGTTTAATATGTTGCGGGCTCATTTATTGGTAATAAATAACTGATAATAAATAATATTGATGATAATAAATTATCAAAAAA